GGTCCCTCAACAACCAAGAGAAGGTGTAACACTATGTGTTTGTGTGCAATAGTATGGACAAACACACACTAGACACACACAAGAGAGAGATATAGAGATAGGAAATATGTATCAACCCTAACCTTAATCCAGAGCTCCCTCTGGAATTTTTTGTAACCCTAATGCCAAGAGAGGAGCCCTCTTCTTATAGGTAACTCCTCTTGTAAGGCTTCCAAAACAAGCCATCCAAGAGGAAAATCCCTCCATACACGTGTATGGAGGGGAACAGAGTGGGTGCCAACTATCACAGCTGACACAAAATATCTACTAAAAGTAGATGAACAGTGATCGGCCATTCAAAATTGCCATTTTGGCAAAATAAATGGCCGACCGGCAACAAAGAGTGCCGACCGGCAATATACATTGCTGATTACATAAAATCACTGGCCGGTGGCCTCAAGCCATGGCCGGTGATGTGTGGGGATGCCTCGCAAGGCATTCCCTGCCCCTCTAAGGCAAAACACAAGTGTTTGGTGCAAAACCAGACACAACATGGTCGAGTCAAGAGATCCTGAGGCAAGGCGCGCAACCGAGGCCTCCGGAAACTCAAGACGAACACAAACAAGGGTAATCACCAAGTGTTCCAATGGTGACGTCCAAGTCTTGAGGACGGTCAAAAATGGGATGTCTACAGGTACCAGGGGGAAGGTCATAAAATGAGCACCCCAACTCGCCCGATCAAAGGATTGGCCTCTACTAATCATGATATGCCCTTTTATAAACCTAATGTGTTCTTTATCCGATTATTAGCTAACTTTACTATGTGACAGACACAATTAAGTATAGACTAAAATCGCAAGAATTAGAACAACTCAACTTATGTTTTTTTTCAAAAATGGTTTGAATTTGCCACCCTCAATTGGGCTTAAAACTCACATTTATTGAATCATTCCAATTCAAACAATCAAGCCATCATTCACAGGCATTCATGCAGTTTAGCGTTTAAGCACATAGCCTCATGGCAAGCATGCTATCATGGTAACATGGCAATCACACTCATGCAAGTATGCTAAAGCGTAAAACTTACCTAGTACTCCAAGCTAGGAAAACAAAGTTAGAAAAATATACATGATTCCTAACTACACAAAATGCCTAATGCAACATATGCAATATGCAACTAAATAGGCTCGGCTACTTAATCATGGTATTTGATTCGATTCAATTTGATAACATGCTTTAAAACATGTATTCACATAAGTATTGAATTGATAATGCAGTTTGAATGATGTGCCGAGCCTTGGTGCATGCAAGACAAATCAATGGATGCAAACATGTGAGCATAAGGTATGCTAATTGAAAATGTCCCTAATCTAACCATCTAAAGCGATTAAAAAAAAGGGAGAAAGACGCGGGGTTGGAAGACATGCACACACTAACGCACTGTTATTACAACATTGTGCCCTCATGAAGGAGGGTCCGAATGAATAAGAGCTAAGCTAATGTAAGCTAAGCTAGGCTAACTAATCTAATTAAGCTAATTGGACTAATTATTACAAATCAAACGAATAACTAGCAAACTAATTACTAATTATTACAACAGTTTAACTAATTAGCAAACTAATTCATTAAATTATGACACAAATGTACACAAACTAATCATGCAAAGTATTTAAACTGCACTGCCTCAGCTCTGCTTCGGGAAGTGGAAGATGCTTGCACTCAGTTTTTGCCCCGAAAAGCCTTCCATTTTGTTCTCGAGAGGCTCTGTTTGCAGGGTTGAACATACTCCAAAAACTTTATGCTCCACCTTACCAAACACTTGCTGAGGATTGCACCAGTGGCCTGTCGGCCATGATTGGTTGCTGCCGACACCTTGCCGGCCAAAAATGTGCTTTGCCAGCCAAGAATAAGGCACTGCCGGCCATCAATAAGCCATTGCCGGCCATTGGTGCTCTGAATCACCACAGTGTAACAAAGCACAGACAGAGGAAAAAGGAAGGTTTTTCCAGGGGTTTATTTGTACTGTCCCCCCTCCTTATCATCTCAAACCCTCAAAGGAGTGGCTCTCTTTGATCCAAAACCACCAATCAAGCATTATCAATGCATGATGGCCAAGGAACCAAGGAGTACAATTGCATTATATGCCTAAAAACAAGACTCAAGACCTCACCTCATCATGTGTGATCAAAGGCAATGGAGGCAAAGGAGATTGGCTCATTTCATCACTTTGAATATTAAATGCTCCAATCTTCATTGTGTTCAATATAGCGTCCGATTGAACACATGCAATGCAACACAAAATGCTTAACTTGCTCAAGTTTTACTTATCACTTTTATTTACTCATTTTAAGTTACCAACTCATTCTTTAATTGATTAAGTCCAAGGTGAGTGCCCTCTAATGGAAGAGGTGTCAACCAAGGGAGGATTTAAGGCAATAGAGAGATCATGCCTTTGGTTAGTAGAAACCTTCAAAAGAGGATTAAAACCATTAAGCACAAATCTCAATCTCAAGCTTAAACACAACCCAAAGGTTAACCAACCCTCTAAGAAAATGAAAAAGTGATGAAATGAGGGAGGTTACAGATATTATGTGTGCTGAAATTACATGCAAAATGGCACTACAACATGCTTTCAACTCAAAATAATGATGCTCAAAGCTTTAAAACACCAAGCTAGTGAAGGAATTAACCCTACAACTATGCAATAAAGCCTCAAATGAATCAACCAGCCCAAAACAGAGCCACAACAGGTCAAAATAGTGGCAAAAACATGCTGGACAAAAGCTATGTTTGGCTAGAAAAACATGCTAATACACAAAGCTATCTAGGCATGCAAACAAGACAAAAGGAGGGGAGGCTAACCCCTCCTATTTTGGACTTTAAGACATGATTTTTACCACTGAAAATCCTCTGAAATTCAATTGTTAAAAGGGCCAAAAAAGTTGATTTAAAATCTTTGAATGATGGCACAACAACTTAATAATCAAGCAACAAGAAGGCTAGACTACCCCTAACTAGAAACATACCTCAAACCACCATTTTGAAACCATGAAAACAGAGATTTTCAAAGGTCAAAACTAGCCTTAAAACAGTATGTAAAGATGGCAAAACAAGTATTTAAAATAAGTTTAAAACACAAGTGTTCTACCTCTTGAAGAGAATATGCAATTTAGGCACCAAAATCAAGCCAAGCCAAGCCAAGCCAAAATCCTCTTCTAGAGCTCAAAGAGGACCTCAAGTAACCTCAACTCAATGGTGATCAAGTTTGATCAAGGGTTTATATTCAAGAGTGTAGAGAATTTAGGCTATAAGGCACAAAATATCTAGAGAGAGGGAGAGAGAGAATTTTTTTGTCTTCAAAATTTTCTAACCCTTGCACATGCAAGGGAGGGCTTCTATATATAGAAGATGCAAAATCCCCTCACAAAGATCCAACCATACACGTACTAGAAGATGCTTCAATCTGTGCAAACAGCTGGCACAAAATATCTGTTGATGCACTGGTGGCTGGTCGGCCATCAGTGATGGTCGGCAGGGCTTCATTGATGGCCGGAAGGGCACATCAATGGCCAACAGGCCAAGTTCCATGGCCGGCAGCCCTCAAGGATGGCGGGCAGGCCATCAACAACGTCATGCTACAAAGACCTAGACATGGTCCAAAAATGAGATAGAATGGATGTAGGGTTTGGGAAAATTCAAACCTGTGGCGATCCGCCGCAGACTTTGTGCACTTGACAAGCAATCAGACTTGCCATCGGATGTACCTACAAGAACATCCAAGTCTTAAGGACGGTCAAAAATGGGGTGTCTACAATAATATCGTAGCCTTTAAAAATATTGGATATTTTTTATTCTAAAAACCTAGTTGGTAGCTTCTCAAACTAACAAGGAGCTTCTGTTGTAATTAAAAATTGTGAGAGAAGGTGTTTAGCTTACTAAAGCTTTCCCCAGTAAAGTTGTACTTGTATGTTCCAGTTGTATGATGTCCAAAAATTCTAGAGCATTAGTAGTGTCACCAAGTTTAAAATTTCATTTCTAATAGATTTGAATTAAATAATGAGGCACAGACAAGCAAAAGCACTGTCCTCGCATGGAACATGTAACTTCCTACTATTTCATGAATCCATCACAACCAATTTAACAACACACCCCAAAGTCATCCTTTTCACTGAACTACGAATTAAAATTTATAACTTCTCTATTTACATGTCCTTAAAATCTTGTACCCAACTCCATGTTCTACAAACAAGATGACGATTACAATAAAAGAACCCCATGGGTGTACAAGACAGCAACAAAATAAATCTAACAGCCCTATTACAAAACTCTAAGTATTTACAGCAAAATATTCTCAACTGTCAATCCCAAAACCGCTTACTTTAAGTCACCATTGTAGTTGTACAACATTATTTCCTAAAAAATAGAATAGGAGTGAGCTATATGCCTAGTAGGAATGCATTTAACAAAGTATTTAAGCATTCGAATAAATTTATGGCACCCTTGAGACAAAACATAATAAGGATTTAGGAACACATGTAATCTTCATTAATTATGTAAATACATAACGATTAAGCATGGACCATTACATTTCACACCTTTACAACACAACAATTAAACAATCACATCAATGGAAAACAAACCATGAGTCCCATGTAAGAGTCCAACACAAATTGCTTTAGTTTAAAAAGCACCCCCCACATTTGTCGGCTAGTATACGGTAGGAAGTGGGCACCCAAGAAAACCATCTGTTTTTTCACTTTCACCGGCTATTATACAGCAGGACTGTGTGGACACCCAAAAACATTTTTCCCACATTCGTCCAGCGATAAGCCTAGATAGGGAATTTGGGCACCTTTTAAACTCCCGTGCGGGTACTAACACAACGCCACACTTCTAAAACTGACTCTTACCTGGACTCATGCACAATTAACAATTCTATCACATTTTAATTCCATCAACAAACATCCATCATCACAATAGATAAAACACCACATAATATTCAAAGAATAATAACATTCAAGTCACAATTCCTTTACCATATCAACATCCACATCTTTCATCTCTTGATTGTTCATATTATTCCATGAATCAACGGAAATTCCACTCTATTTAGTGTTTTCTATTCAAATTGAAAAGTAAGGGTTTTACCAAATTTGGGGTTTCTCTCATTCATCATAGATATAGGTTTTAACAACACACACACACACACACACACACACACACATATATATATATATATATGTTTTTACCTGACATCCTATACAACGGGACTGACTCGGTACCACAAGACAGACCCAAAAACAAAAAGACTGACTCAAAGCAAAGAGGCAGACTAAAAAATAAAACAGAGAACTGACTCAAAACCCAAGCCAGAAGCTACAAAACTGCATTTACCAATGCTCAAAAAGTGCATGCCAGACGCCACATCTGAAATACACTGAGCGCCGCCCGCAGGTGGTCCAACCCCTGATCACATACTCGTAGTATCCTCAAAGTCCAACTGCTTGGTGGTAACAGACTTCGCTGAGGTAGGTGGAAGAATGACCTCATTATCGATCAGATCCTGCACTTCATGGCGAAGGCGGAAACAGTCGTCGGTGGCGTGACCGGTCTGTTGGTGGTACGCGCAGTATAAAGCAGCATCATGTGTGAGAAGGAGATTCTTCGGGAGAGGCCGAGGTTCAAGGGGAATGAGAGAAAAGACAATCTGGCATAAGCAAGGGGGGTCGACCCTAATTTCCAGTAACTAACGCACAGATTCTGCAATATAAGAGGGTCGACCCTTCCCAGACTGGTGTCGACCCTATAGAAAACCAACAGAGGCACTAAGAACTCAAACAGGTATAACTCTCTCGTTCAGATTCCGTTTTAGGTCATTCTTGTGTCCAAATCGAAGCCCCAAAAACAGGCTTTCCAATGGTTTTGGCTTCACATTCAAATTCAAAGTATGGACGGAGAAAAGAGCTAAAGAATGAAGGTTGGTCAAAAGCAAAAACTCAAATATGGGGCTTTTGATCTAATCTTGCCTAAATACCTTGTTAAGGCTTCAATCAAGGTTCCAAACATCCCCCAAGGATCCTCAATTATAATATTTAGAGTTCACTTGCCAACCCATCAATGTCAAGAGTCCAACAACCATACAAGTTTTAAGGTGACGGGTACTAATTTACACTAATCCAATGTGAATTAGAATCCGAGTCATTACAGAACAAGCAAGTTAGGTTATATATCTAAATGACAAAGATCACATCTCAAAAGGTATATAAAGTTTCATAGACAAACCTTAATGGCATAGCTCACCATCTTTGAAAAAGTTGTAATCGTGACATTCTTTCCTTCCCTCTCAACCTAGGAGATAGAAGGTAATAAATTTTAAATAACAACAATAGTGAACCATGATAAAATATATAACAACACAAGACAGTAGAAGCAACCACAGAAACTATCATAATCTTAAGGAAAAATACCTTAGCTTTCCCTATTGGAAGGCAAAAATTGGAATCAAGAACTTTTGCCGAAAAAAGGAAAGACTCACCATATCTAAAGCACAAAAGTCACATTGGATAATAATAATAATGATATATATAGATAAGGTTGATATATTACAACTTAATGCTACACTGAGTACTCACAACAGCTCATTTCAAGGAAAACAATAGGATCAGGGTCTCTAATGGTAGCTTTTAGCAGTCCAAGAGCATCTTCAAATGAGTATGGGCCCAGCACTTTCAAACCAGGGTAGGCGCCATACCATGCTATGAAACACTACATGACATTCCATATATGTCATCAATGGTTATGTGTGTCACTGATTTAGAATTTTATCATTGAAAGCATATTTGGGATTAGTAATGAAGAAACTCAACATGTTCACAATAAGAAACGATACTGTGTAAATCAAATATTAGACTTGGAGGTACTCAAACCTTAAACCTAATAAATACCTAGTGAAAATGAAGAAGGAAAAAAGAAATCTCGCATTCTCCCTATTGACAACTAGTAGGTTGAAACTTATTGATACAACTGCTTGTAACCGTCCAAATTGGACACTAATTTAATACTCTTCAATTATTATCTATACACAATGCTTTAGAGATATGTAGTTACTATATATCTCTCATATTACCTTTAAGGCTGAAGGCAATGATGCTTAGTAATGTGTCATTTGTTTAGAAAACAACCAAGCGAGCAAAGAACCATCACTTGCAAAAGAAGCTTGAGGAACCATACCTGGGAGTGTTGGGCACCTACACCAGCAGCAACACCATTTGGTCCTCTAAAAACAATAGGTACATTTATCTAGCCAGCAGACATGTAATTTAATTTTGCAACAGAATTAATGATGTGGTCAATTGCTTGCAACAAAATGAAGACTAAGATCCCTTGGAGACATTAACTGCGAAAGAAAGGAGCCCAACAAATTATAAAGAGAAACTCTTATGCAACAAGAGCTGAGATACAAGATTTTAAATTAATTAGCTATTAGCACTGAATGTTGCAAAAAAAAATCTATAACAGCCTGCAACATGAAATAATTAGTTGAGATATAAAAGTTGACATTCTCCCTCAACAGCCTACAGCATGAAACCATTATGTATTGTCTCCCTCATTTTAGATTGAAAAGCATAATTGTCTATTTTGTAAAAACCAGCAAATGAAAAATGACAAAACCAAATCATCTCGAGTATTCATAAGATACTCATAAAGCCTAATACACATGATTTTAATTCTGAATTTGTTTTCATTGTGGCATGCATTGTGACCAGTCTTAGCAATTTCGACTACAACAAACAATTCCTGAAATTCTTGAGGATGGATACTTCTTTCATGATTATGAGGCAGATCTTGAGCAGAGTGCCAAGCGTGAGGAAGCATACGAAGGCAAAGGGCATGGACAATGTGTTCTATGAATTAATAGAGTGAGCACTATAGAAAGATGATAATTTCAAGAGAAAGGTAATTGTCATTCAAGACTTGCGTGAAATGACAAGCAAGGTTCTCCATTTCTACAAAGGAGATTTTCTTGATGAATTGCCTAGGCTTGTCAACTTTACTGTATTTCTTCACCTCAGCCCTAGACAGAAGCGTGAAGTTGAAGAACTAAAGAACTTAGTAAGGAAGTTCAAAATCAGCTCGGATTGGAGTGTGTGCCGAAAGTTTTGTTTTTCTTGTGAGACTTTAGTGTTTTTTTAGCAAAATGGATGGGAAATAGTTCCCACATGAAAACAGACTTCTCATTGAAGCATAGTGTCTTCTTTTTCATTTTTAAATCTTATTATGTGAATGGTGAACCTTATAATTTGAAACTAAGGTTTCTTCTCCTCTCTATGATGGTATATTTTATTCCAATTTATCTCCTCTCTCACATAAAAATGTTATTAAAAATATTAATTTTTTTCAAATAAGAATATTATATTAAACAAAAGCATAGGCCTAAGATTCATCATCATCTATTGTCTTATACATTGAAAGAAATATGAGTTGGCTATGGTATGTACCTAAAAACATTTCACCCACAATTTCAATTTTACAGAGCTAAAAATTTGAAGGAAAGACTTAAATAACAAACCATGGGATGGGTTTAAAAAAGCATAAAGGAAAACAAAAGGCAACAAACAATCAGGCTAAAAAAAACTCTGGATAAATTTAATATATTTGAATTTCCATTTAATTCATTCATTTGATGTGTAATTTAAAGCTCTCTAGTTACTTTGAGCGTGTCAAAGTAATTCTTGTATCTCTGTGCTAACCCAAACATGCCCATTGTACCTCCGGTGTGAAGCATCGCCACTTTTGCACCACCTTTTGACTCACTCTAGCTAAGTTGTGTTTCTAATTCCCAAGCAGCTAACGTGTATATTGGATTGACTATAACACTAGTTTACTGCGTAATTTGTTGGCACATCTCTATTTCCCCAGTCAACACATTGCCAAATATGAAAACAAAAATAAAAATAAAAACATTTCTCAATTAAGAGTGGTTATTCAAATTCAAACTACAAACAAGTCTTCAACTTCCTGAATTTGCTGGTACATTATTGCCTTTGATTGGATTCACATTCTTTGCCTCAATTTCATCACAATTAACCCTCAACAATTTGATTATCATGCAACTTGAATCAAAATCTAACTTTCCAACATTTCATAGAACGTTGAGATATGAATTTCTCAACATAAATAAAAAAGTATATAACCATCAATTTAGGGAAAGGGGAAGAGAGAGAGAGAGAGAGTCCGAGATTGACAGAGATAGAGAGGCCGAGATCGACAGAGATAGACACACAGAGAGAGAACGAGATCGACAGAGATTGACAGAGAGAGAGAGAGACAAAGATCGACTGAGATCGACAGGGAGAGACAACGAGATCGACAAAGAAGAAACCGAGATCGATTGAGAGAGACTAAGATTAACAGAGAGAGAGAGAAAGAGAGAGAGATAGAGAGAGAAACCTGTGATTTGTGCTACTGGAGGTGCTGATTTGCGGCGGTGGCAGTGGCGAGGTACGACGGTGGCGAGCGATAGTTGGGTGGTGAGCGAGGATAGGTTTGGTGGTGACTATTCTATGTGTGTGTGAGAGAGAACAAAGAAGAAAGTATTTGTGTAAAACAAAGAAAAGGGGTGAGATAATAAATGTAATGCCCTGAAATAATCCAACATAAATATAATACATCAACCCACAAGCACTAAATAATAACCCTAATACACAAGAGATATCGGAAGGTCATATCATCATATTCCATTACATGACTTCAAATGTTTGTACAAAAGTAATCTCACATGCGAATATACATTCATTGAAAGCTAGTACATGAATCTACAGCATGTGAAATCATTAAACCAAAATGAATCTACAAATTCCATGGCATGATCTTGGTAACACCAAAATGATCCATCGAACCCATACATATTAGCCCTTGGCTTTACAAAAATTTTACAACAAAATAAAAGAGCAATCTACTCTTCACCAAATCCCATAGGGGTGAGCATAAAGCCCAAAAGAAAACCCTTAACAAAGTATATACATATATGCAAGATTCCCAACATTTAATGTAAATGCAAATGCCATGTAATTCCATTTCAAAGATAATCTCATGTCATGCTTTTCTTGAAAATCACCATGTTTTTAGTAAAACTTTGCAATCTCATCACTTTTAAACCTCCAATTTTAATCATTAGTGGCGGTAAATACGACTTAGGTAATCCTTAAGTTGGTGTCTGCAAGTAGGCTCAACAAGCACTACCAATAACCCCACTTTACCAGCTGCTAACCGGAAGGGAAGTGGTACCTCCTCCGCTCGTGTTTTCGGTCTTTCACCCTGGACACTCAAGCCAACTTATCAAATTCATCTACACCTCCTACCCGGACTTACCAATGTATTTACTCATAATAGTTCAATAGTTCTCAATCTCAATATTCTTTTCTCAATGTAATGTTCTCAACTCAAAATAAGATGCATTAACATCAATTGAAAGAATGTATAATGCAAATGATGCTAAAATTTCATAACATCCTTCCGTTTTTAAGTATTCCATCGATGCTACAATGACAACCACATAACCCATTTACCCCCTTTTAATCGAAATCAATAAAATACTACTAGTTCAATTAAGTGCAAAAACATATGACAACCTTCACATTCTTGTACCATCCTCAATACTTTAGCCATTTCAAGGTCTTATGCAAAATCCTTGAACATTAAAGATTTCAATGTTCTTAGTTCATGGAACTCAACAATGGATCAACTCATCACTATGCATGTGTAAGCATTTGTTAACAAATTCAAATATAGTCCCCAATTTCTCATACTTCAAGGGGTCATTATACTTTTAAACAAATCAATATAGAATACTCACATTTTTCAAAGAAAACCCCCAATTTCTAGGTTTTCACAAAAACCAAACATTTTCCATCTCGTTTATAAAACCTTATTATATACCTCAATCTCAACCCATGTGTCCAAAATTTCAAGAAGGGTTTTTAAAGGAACACAAGATAGAGTTTGCTCTACACAATCATGAATTTCTTGAGCCACCCAACCCATTTTCGAAATCACAAGAGGAGCTCACAAAATCAACTAAAAACTTACATAAGCATATATATAACTCAAAGGAAACCCTACCTCAATGTTTGATGAAGAAAGAGGAGATGAAATCCTAGCTTTGATGGTGTTGAAAGGAGATCTCCACCGTACACAATGTGGTTCTCAAGAGGCTCTACAATGTTGATGAAGAGACTGTGGACCAATCTTCAATAGATGGTGAAGGATCAAAGGTTGAATCTTGTTTTTGAGGAAGAGATATAGAGAGAAGGAAGAGAGATATATTTTTAGAGAGAGAAAGATGTAATTAAAATGACACACAAACTGCCCAAAAGAAGAGAAAAAAAAAGAGCCTCAGATCTGGGCTTTTTTCCACACATGTGGAGCTTATTCCCGCAGGTGCGGCCATCACTCCCACACGTGCGGCACCTTCCTGCACGTGCATTTATTTTAGTATGCACTGCCCAGCCTCCCCTGCTCCCCGCTCGTGCGGCCCCCATCTTGCACATGCGACCTAGGGCCCCGCATGTGTGGCCCTTGCCCAGCAGCCCAGAAATTTATGGTTCAACCCCCAGGCATTCCGAACCCAACCATGCACCCTCTGGAACAGGTGAAATTCAACACCGACAAAACAAGAACAAGAACTTTATTTAGAGAACTATTTTCGGATGTTTTAAATCCAACGGAAGTAAAAGGAGAACAGAGCGAAGAAAGAAAGAAAAGAGAAAAAAAAGACTCGGTCGTCACAATAAAAATTTTCACCTTCTAGCGACTAAATTATTATTTGTCGACAAATATTAATCAATAATGACTAATTTTTTGTAGCCAAAAGTATAATTTCGCTACTAATTTTTTTTGTTGTCGGCAAAAATTGAACATACGACGACTAAATATTTTTAGTCACCAAAAGTTTATGTTTACTGAAAAAATTATTTGATCAGCAAAGACTAACTGAAAAATAAGCCTGTTATTTGGCAATTTAACTTCCTTTTGTTGGAAAATAATTGTATATGACGACATAAATAAGAATTGTAGTGGCCTAGATTTTAATACGTATCAGATTGGTGTAAAGTGGTACTCGTCACCTTAAAACTTGTGTGGTTGTCAAACTCTTGGTATTGATGAGTTGGCAAATGATCATTAAATATTATAATTGAGAACCCTTGGGTGATGTTTGGAACCTTGATTGAAGCCTTAACAAGGTATTTAGGCAAGATTAGATCAAAAGCCCCAAGTTTGAATTTTTGTTTTTGACCAGCCTTCACTATTTTGCCCTTTTCTCTTTCCATACTTTGAATTTGGATGTGAGGCCAGAACCATAGGAAAGTATATGGTTTATAATGTGTTGTGACATATAGGAGAATGACTCGTTGCTATGTTTATAATTCTAGAAAAGGTTAGCAAGGAATTCCTGAAAAGAATCTTTCTTTTTTTTTCAAAACATATATTTGACTGATGTAGAAACAAACGAAAGGGTTTTTCTTTGAAACGTTTTCATGAATTTCCTTTATGAGAATGTTGTTACCTATATGCATTGCAATTTGAGTATAAAAAGATTACAAAGAATTTATGTTTGTTTCACACTTTAGCACTTTATGATCTCATGTATTTAAGGACTATATTGTTTAGAATCAGGGAAGATTCCTACTAGACTTTGTGTTCATCCCAATTATTTCAACCATTTTTCAGGAACAAAGTTTGGAATGCCAGATTGAGGATTGAAGAGTTTATTTTCTATTATTTGGTCATAGTGTAAATGAGAGATGTTTGTTGTAAATGAGAGATTCATGTGTATTTCTATGTGAATTTTGTGCATGTATTATTGTTGTATTATTCGAGAGAGAACAATGTTGTTGTTGTGACCCCATGTAATGGGTGATTGTAATAATTGTAGTTAATTAAATGGACTTGTATTAAAGGTTTTGGTTATAATTTCGAGTAATAAAACTTGGGGCGTGACAACTTGGTATCAAAGCTAAACGGGTTTGAAAACTTGGAGCTCGTGGGAAGTGGCTTTTACCACAATGGGTTGACTTCACTTGGTGAGGACGTTAGCATGTAGGGTGTAGGGGGTGTAGGACATTATGTGTTGCATTGTGTGATCATGGCTTGAGCTTCATGGATAGTGCTTGTAGCCGGATAACTTGCATTGAGATCGCATTGGAAACACATCTTATCAACATGGTTTCCAGTGGGAGTTCCTTGGAAGTTCCGGGACAAGTGGTCGTCCTTGTAGACTTGACTTGATTATGTGGTTTGTTGCTTTAAATTGTTTATTTGTTATGTGATTATGTGTTAAGTTGATTTCATGTTTTGGTAGGAAGTCTAAGTGTGTTGAGGAGGAGTTAGAATTTTGTTAACTTATGCTTGATATTGTCGTTGATAGGATGTCGGGGTGAGCCAGTAGAGGTCATGTTGGGACTAGGGGTACTGGTAGGGCCACAATAGTTCCAGTAGTGGCCACACCTGCAGCATCGACTGTGGGTGAAGAGATTGCACACGAGATAGCAGAGTAGTTAGGGAGGCTTTAATTCATAATGAGGGAGACTAGTCTCATGCCCTCAAGATCACTAAGGAGTTCTTTCGTCTTAACCCACTGAAATTCACAGGAGGAGTAGAACTGTTAGAGGCAGAGAGTTGGTTAGAGCAGGTCACTAAGACTCTTGATATGCTCAAAGTCACAGATGAGGGGTTGAGAGTGTCATTAGCAAGTTTTCTGTTAAAGAGAGAAGCGGGTTATTGGCAGCAGTATGTAAGTTCTACTGTAGGCACCACCTGGGTTGCATTCACTGAGGCCTTTTGGGCCAAGTATTTTCCTCCTTCCGCTCGAGAAAGATTGCGGAAACAATTCGTGGAGTTGCGCCAAGGTACGACTCCTTTAGCCCAATTTGAAGCACAGTTCACCAGTTTGTCCAGATTTGCTCCAGAGTTGGTAGCAACTGAAGAGTGGCGTTGTATAGAATTTGAAGAGAAATTGCATGATGAGATCAAAGGGAAGGTAGTGGGGTGTATGCATACAAATTATCACACATTAGTGGAAGCGGCGGCTCATATGGAAGACACCAATCTTGAGGTGGACCAGGATGAAAGAGAGAGGGCCATAATGGTGAGTTCCATAGCTCGAGAGCATACGAGATTTAGTAAGAGGCAAAGGAAATTTGAATCTCAATCAAAATCCCAGTCACAGCCACAATCTAGTTCTACCTTGTTAGGTTCATTGGTCGGGAGATCCAGCCAAACCCAAGTCTCCTCAAGTTGGTCAGGAAATAGAGGACCACCTTTTTGCTTTAAGTGTAAGCAATCAGGTCATGTTAGACGTCGTTGTCCTTCACGTGGTATGAGTTTGTCTTAGAAGTCCGAGTGGGGACAAGAAGACTTTGTGTTTGGTACTGTTATGTAATGTCTTTTGTATGTAAGGCCTTGTGCCTACGGATGCTATGAACGTATATGTATGTGCGATCTCTGAACCTAATTGTGTGGTAATGTAATTAAATTTTAGAACTTGTTCATGTTGGGAAGTGTTATAAGGAATTACACCCTTAATGTTATGTTGTGTTACTATTTCTATTACATAAATGAAGTATGCATTGACTTATGAACTTTGAATAGAATTAAAGAATTTGTGAAAAGTGGGAGTGGTATGATGTTGGTTCGAGCCACTAAGTAGATTGTAAAAACTGTATTCCATAATATGAGGGTGGTATCGGCATAATGTTATTGTAAGCTAGTGTATGTGCAAAGGAGTTTGCAGTATTCGAGTATGGGGTTCATGTATATGGGGGGTTGCTAGAATTGGTTCTTGGGAGGAAATATTGGTTGTGTTTTTCTAGTAATGGGTATGGTATGAGCGATGATTGTTTTGAGTGATTAGGAATGGGCGTTGCCATATTGACGTAATGGTAATGGGGTTATTAGAAACGGAACTAGTGCAACGTATACTTGAGGAGTCTAGTGAGATTCTACAAATGTGTAGAGGGTTGTAGGAAGCTCCATCTCAGAGTAAACAGTGCAGGGCAACATGTAAGTGTTGGTGATTGTGTGGTTGGCCAACTAGTGATACTTGAGTTCTGGGTGACCCATTGTCACTTTAGAATGGTCTAGATGTGAGCATGGTGACGAGTTGGGAAATGTCTTGGAGGGGTTTTATGAGTGTTAATTCTTCTGTGTGTAGTGGTAAGGCTTGAGTGAAACTTGTCACAGGTTGACGAAAAATTCTTTGGGTTGGGGCTAGGGCATTATAAATTTCTTAGCCTTGTTTGCATGGGAATGATAAGTGATGATGATTATGAATTGTGAGATGTGAAGTGATATGTGTTGACATTTGAATTGTAAGAGTAGGTAATTGATAAATTGAATTAAGTCGCGTTAAGAAGATGGATCCCTGTAGTCACTCCCTTTTGACGGGACTTAACGATTGGTTTGGGCTAATTTAATCTGTTTTGGTTTGACACATAACTTGTTTGCATGGGAATGATAAGTGATGATGATTATGAATTGTGAGATGTGAAGTGATATGTGTTGACATTTGAATTGTAAGAGTAGGTAATTGATAAATTGAATTAAGTCGCGTTAAGAAGATGGATCCTTGTAGTCACTCCCTTTTGACGGGACTTAATGATTGGTTTGGGCTAATTTAATCTGTTTTGGTTTGACACATAATCGGTAGTTTCAATTAATAATATTTAAAGTTAGTTGATGCTTAGTCATCTGGGGATTTGTTTTGGTTTGGATAAATAGAGATATGGTTGAGTAGTACATCAGGTGATACCAGAGGACATTGAGTCTTACTTGTGTATATGCGTTGTTGATGTGAATTTGTGAAATTATCCTAATTGAGATAAAAATGTTTGATTATAAATTGTTGTAAGGGCACTTGTGCCAATGTATACATCGATTGTTAGTGTTGATATTTGCAATGATAGGGAGACTACCAACTTGTGGGAAGTCGCATGTACTATGTTACTTTTCGAATGCACCATAATTGTTCTATTCATTGTCAATAC